TTGTTTACAGATGGGGCCGGCAGCGCTGTGAGCTCCTGGACTGAACTCTTCTGTTCGCTGCAGCGTTTGCTGAAGCAGAAGACATGACGTGAGATGAGTGTCTGTGTGTGAGAGCGCGAGAGATGATGATGATGATGAAGATGATGACATCACACCACCTTCAGTTCCTGCTGGCGACGCCCCTTCTCCTCCTCCTTCTGGACAGCCTGTGGACTGGACTCTGACTCCCCCTTTAGGACACAACCCTCCCTCCCCCTCCTGCAGCGTGTTGCCATGCAGCTGGCCCCTCCTCTGACATCACGATGATGTCACTGCCCCGCCCACCAGGGTAGGAGGGGACAAACCTTAAAGACTTTTGTGGAATCAGATTAACAAGCGACTCTTTGGACTTCTTCAGTAGATTTTTGTTGCTCTTATTTTTCTTCTTCTGAGCACTAAAAACGGCGAAGGAGACGCGCCAGACGGACGGTGCCTCACAGGCTCCGCCTCCGGCTCTTAACCAGCAGCACCGACCCTTTCGGGTTAAAAGCTGGGTGCTGAGGAGCGAGTGCCAAAAAGAAAAGGTTTATCTGAGTCCGTGGGCTTGGCGCTGCGAGCCGCTTCGGGTCGGTTTCCCTGCTGCACTCGGGTTGGGAAACGGGTCACTCACCATTTTTGATTGTTTCAGATTTCAGAGAATTGAAGACGTTTGTAAAAGGTTATATTTTTCCATTGCTATGATGAAAAGAAAAAAAATACTGAAGCTGAAAACAATAAAGTGAAATGAAACATTCCCCGAGCAGTTCTGGTGATTCTGTTGGACTTCTGGACTCAAACTGTTCTGGATTCTGGGAGCTGAACCGTCGGCCACAAAGAACCACGACTTCTGTTTTTTTGTGTCCTCGCGGCTCGACGGCGCTCTGCTGCTGGGTTTGATCAGACGCTCGGCCCGGCCCACTTCCTGACCGGACTGACTCATTTTCAGTTCCCAGTTCTGGGTGGAGGCTCTTATTTTGTAGGGATGCACTTCCTGTGCTGACCCTGAAGTCTGTTTGTTTCTGGATTGTGAATCATTTAAAGCCAATCTGCTTTTATTTCATATGAAACTTTAGTGAACTAATAAAGTCTATATTGTATTGAAGCTTTGGCTGCTTCTTCTGCACCAGAACCGGACCTGAGACCAGCTGCTGCCGGGCCGGAGCTGGGCTGAGTCTGTTAGAAAACATTTAAAGAACATCTGACTCATTAAATCAATTAGAACTTTCTGCTGCAGCTGTTTAATTCGTTTTTAAATTATTTAGCTAAAATGTTTGAGTGCAAAGTGTTTTATTTTTTTCAGTTTAAAATATTTTATCCAATTTGGAAAACTTTAAAAACTACACATATTTAAAAGGAATGATTTAAAAATACAGGTATTTTTTTCATTAATAAACCCATTACTTAGAAAATATCTGCACATTAATAACTTTTAGCTTTTACAGTTGTAAACTGACTACATTAAAGTGCCTCTTAAAACATTCTGTTGAAAAGAATACATTTAATTTGAATGTTATGTTTCTGTAATGTGGACAAATCCTGTAACATCTCCATGAACGTTCTTCCCAGCTTTGACTTTTTTATGCCCTAATCTGGAGAAATGCATAAAACGGTTCAGCACCGGGTTCTGATTTTGTATTAAAGTGTAAAACAACAGCTGATTGTCAGGAAGTCTTCCATATTAGTCTTGATTAAAATATTTATAATAATTATTAAGTGGAGCTCATTTTAAAGTCTTTAAAAAATAAATAAAAATAAGTGGCCCTGCGATGGACAGGAGACCTTTCCAGGGTGCCCCCTGCCCCTCGCACAGTGATTGGGGGATATGGGCACCTGTGACCCAAAATGGGAGAAGCGAGTAAAAGATAATGGATGGATAAATAAAAATTAATATTATAAATAATTAATAAAAATTTAGAACATATCACAACAAAAATAAAAGTTCAAAACTATAAACAATCGTACATAAAAATGAAATATCGTTTTAAATGGTAAGAATCAAACGGGCTATAATAAAGTTCAGTTTGCTGATTTAAATTAAAACTGAAATAATAAAAATTTAAAATATTTAAAAAATATCTTAAAGAGGTTTTTACTGTTTTAGACCATCCTTTAAATTAACACAAAGAAATGATACTCTACGTCCGATCGATTAATCGGGTGTTTTCTGTGATTAGGCCCCGCCCTTCGTTTCGGTGATTAGGCCCCGCCCACTCCTCCATCACCGGAGGCTAACGGCTAACCGGGCGGCTTCCTCTCATGTCTCTTTCTGTTTTGTTCTCGTCCAGCGGAGCCGTTACCGTTCCGAACCGGTCCGGACTCGCCACATGTGCGTCCCGGACCTCCGGTTCTGACATGCAGCAGCTGTTATGTAACACCGGAGCAGCGAACGGAACCGTCAACCCGCCGCCATGAGCGACGCGCAGCAAGAACCGTCCCCGGACTTCGTCCTGATGCGGCTCGTCTCCGCCGCGGAGTACGACCGGCTGGACGAGCCCGAAGACCGGATCCGATCCGGAGGCGGCGGGTTCGGACCCGTGAAAGCCGCGCTGGGACACCGCGGCGGCGGGTTCGATGTGGACCCCAGCGGCCCCTCTTCGGGCCTCGGTTCCGGATCCCCGCACTACAGCTCTCCGCTGCCCGGGAAAGGTGAGCTGGACGGCGGGCTGGTGCTGACGCAGGCCCCGCTGGGCTCGGAACCGCCGCTGTCACCTCCGCCGGAGGACTTTGGCATAGTGGCGCAGAGGTTCGTGGACGGTTCGGGGGGACCCGGGCCGAGGGCGCAGCTCATGGTGTTTCAGAACCTGCTGCGGTCCGGAGACCGGATCCTGGAATTCAGACCGGAGGGGTTTCTGCAGGAGGAGGCGGAGAGACAACATCTGGACCCAGGATTAGGCTCTGGTTCTGGCAGCAACACAACCGGTCCTGGTCCTGGAGGTGGGCCGGAACAGAACTCTTGCTGTGTCCCGTCTGCAGAGGAGAACCTGCAGTGGCACCCAGTCCTCAGACTGTCCAAGGGGTCCGAAGGGCCCCAGAACCTTCAGTGGGTCCCAGTTCTGGACTCTGAGTCCGGCCCGGTTCTGTGTCTCCGACACCGACTGGCTAAGTGGCCCCCGGGCCTTCTGGACCAGGCCCTGCGCCTGGGTCTCCTGGAACCCAGAAAGACCTGCTCGTCTGGGGGCGAGGACCCAGTCCTGGTTTTGGCCCAGAGGCTGGGTCAGATGGGGGAGTTGATGGAGGGGGTGGGAGGTGGAGGGGAGGACCTGGCGCTCCCCACCCCACGCTGCTCTTGCCATAGTGTCTTGGGTTCTGGAGGACCCGGGGAGGACCCCAGTGACACCAGTGATGCCCTGCTGGTTCTGGAGGGTTTGGGTTCTGAGGAGGTGGGTGGACTGGGTCAGGGGGGAGGCAGGGAGGAGGCCGTAAAAGGAGAGGAGGTGGGGGTTGTCGGTGGAGGAGGGAATCCTGGTGGTTCTGGACCCGTGTTCTCCAGCGGGACTCTGAGCGGTCTCATGCAGCAGGTCCACAAACTGGCTGAGGAGGCCGGAGTCTGCACAGACCAGAACTGCTGCTCCTCCATGCCCACCCCTATCAACACCACCCCGTACCCCCCTGCATCCGGTCTCAGAGACCCCCAGGTCCCCCCAGACTTGATCCCCCGGCACCAATCCAGATCCCAGCCCCAGAGTCGCGCTGCCACCCCCAGGCTTGGTGTGGCCCTGGGGGGTGCCGGACAGTCCGCCTCCCCACTCGTGGTCCTGGAGGGGGAGAAGAAGTCCAGAAAGGGGGCGTCCTTGAAGGTCCGGCTCAGCAAGCTTTTCAGAACCAAGAGCTCCGGTGGTGGGTCAGGGGGGCTGCTGGACAAGAGACCGTCTCTGGCATCGTCCACCTCGTCCGGGGGGAGCCTGCTGGACGTATGGGGGTCCACCTGCAGCAACACGAATCAGGACAGCACCAGGTAGGACCACCGAGGGGGGGCGGGTTCTGAAGGTTCGGGTCTGGCTGCTATAACAGGCTGTTGTCACCATGGCTGTTTGGTTTTGACCCAAACTGCCAGAATCATCATCTATAAACAAAATAACTTCAGAACATCTGGACCACAGCTGGTTCTGATCAAAGTTTTTATCTAACAAAAACTGATCCAGAACTCTGGATTCCAGATGTTCTGTATAATAACTTTTTGAATCAAGTTCATGGTCTGGGGACCCGGCAGACCAACTCCTCTGTGGTCTGTCTCAGTCTAGGTTCAGGGTTCTGTCTCTCAGTGTAAGTTCTGGTTCTGTCACAGGAAGTCCCACTGAGCGTGCCAGGTGAGAGTCAGGGCGGCCATCTTGCTGAGTGCTACGTGTGTCACTTTGTCTCCATGGAACAGTCTCACGTTGACCGCCTTTGTACTGGTACTGAAACCAAGATGGTTCTGCTCCGTTTGACCAGAACCTCAGATCTTCCAACACAACCCGTCAGGTTTTATAAAAGTCCTTCACAAAGTCATAAAGTTCTTTACGCTGAGATGGTGTAGGGGCAGGGAAGCCGACTCGGGATCCGAAGGTCCTGGGTTCGATCCCCGGTCATTGCACATCTCGTGGTGTCTCTGAGCAGGACACCTTATCCCCAGTTGCTCCCCGGGCGCTCTCCACAGCTGCCCACTGTTTTACAGTCTGAGGAGCTGTTTTCAGCTCAGTCTTATAAATAGACTGAAGAAGTATTTCGGATGAAAGACGAAACATTTCTACAATTTTTTGTTTTTTGAACCCGTCCAGAGGACCAGACTTAACTTTTTTTAGATTTTTCTACTTGGATTATTGAGCAGCTTCGGGATATCTGAGTGGTAACTGTAAAATGTCCCCAGAGGTGTGAGTGAGAGACATGGTTTGTCTCTTATGTGTCCCTGTGATGGACTGGAGACCTGTCCAGGTGTTCCTGTGATGGTAAATAGACGGTACTTATACAGCTCCTTTCTATCTTATCAAGATACTCAAAGCTCTTTACAACAATCTGTGCCTCATCTACCCATTCATACATCACTCTACTGTACAGAGAATAATCAGAGCTTTATCACATTCAGACACCGATGGGACACACATCGGAGGCAATGAGGGGTTCAGTGTCTTGCTCAGGGATGCTTCAGCATCTGACTACTGGTGGAATCAAACCCCCAACTCTCCCATTGGAGGACAACTGCTTTAACCTCTCAGCCACAGCTGTCCGCACAGCTGATCTCCTCTGAGGACCAGCCTGGACCTCAGGACAACCAAAAGCCAATGATGGTTGGATCTGAGGGGTTTAGAGGACACATGGGGCTGCAGGTCTACAGGAGTCTGCCCATTCAGGGTCTTGTTGTAACATCAGAGTCAGAGTTTCTTTATTGTCATTCGCACCTCATGTGGTACATGTGGTGGAGCGAAATTATGTACACGGGGTCCCAGTTACATCCAACAATAAAATGTCTAAGAAAAACAGTAATAACATTTAAGATATGAACTAAGAAAAACATCAACTAAATATACACTAAGCACTCATAACATAAAACATTGAACATCAGCACAAACATGAACGTGAGTCTGTGTGAGCAGATGAGCACGCATGAACACATCAACATTGAAACAGATCAGCAGCAACATGAAACAGATCAGCAGCAACATGATATGGTTTTTCACAGTGATTATTCTAGTTAGAGATTCATGAGTCTAACAGCCTCAGGGTAGAAGCTGTTCCTCAGTCTAGTGGTTCTACACTTAATGTTCCTTAACCTCCTTCCTGAGGGGAGTGGGGCAAAAAGTGTGTGTGCTGGGTGGGTGGGGTCCTTCATGATGCAGGTGGCCCTCTTCCTGCATCTGGAGGTGTAGATGTCTGTGATGGTGGGGAGACTGATTCCAACAGACTTATTGAAGTAAAAACTTTATTTTTTTTGTTGTTGTAAGTAATATTTATTAAAAGCTCTTAATTCTCATTTTTACAAGTTCTACTGTCAAGTTCTCCTCAGGAAAATTATATAAACACAAACCATAATCAATAATCAATCTTTGAGATTTATCTAAATGAATAAGCAACAAATAATAAAAAATATATTTTTTATTTATTAATTTTAGCGCTTTAATGGCCTTTAGTTCTCTGAACTCTGTGACTTAAAACACTCTGTAGACAAATATTAAAATAAACATCTTGTCTTTGACGTTCAGCTTTCAATCATTTTAGTACAATAAAACTTTGATCTCTTTAGCTGAGTCTCAGGACGCCATGTAGCACTTTCCAAGATGGCCGTGCAAATTCCTCGTGGCAGTGTGTGCTGTGGTACATGATCCCAAACACAGCAGCTGAACAGAACCAAGGTGCTGCAGCAGTCCAGTCAGAGTCCAGAACCTGAGCCTGACTGAAATGCTGTGGTGGACCTTCAGAGAGCTGAGCACAACCAACCAGAACTCCAGAACCATCAGACTGTTACAGAGCACTGAGAGAAGGTTCTGGGTCAGGGGCTGGGACCTGGTTCTGGTTCAGTAAGCACTTGTTTAAGGCTCAGAAGTCTGGTTTTGTTCGTCTTAGGGTACAATTTCTGAATATAAATATGATTTTTAAAGAAATGTTCACGTTTGACGTTTTTGTCTGGTTTTAAAAATTAATCTGTTTATGAATCAAATCATTTAATGCAAAGACTCCTGGGATGATTGACAGCTGTCAATTATCAATTAGAACAGTTCTGAGTGGAAAGGGCAGATTGGCGACTCTTCGTCCTCATCTTCATCACTTCCTGTGGGCAAATTGGTACCTGGTTCTGCTCTGTTTTGACCTCAACAGAACTTCCATGTTTTGTAAAATCATTAAATGTGGACTATTAAACATCAGATCTCTTTCCTCTAAATCCCCGTAGTCAATGACCTGATAACTGATCATCATACTGATTTATTCTGTCTGACAGAAACCTGGCTACAACAGGAAGATTTTGTTAGTATAAATTAATCCATCTAATTATTTAAATTTTCATGTTCCTAGAACAACTGGTCGAGGTGGTTCTATTTTTTTAGTCAGGACTATTAATTAATACTAAACCATTTAGTAGTTATAACATTGTACTTTTGAGTCACTGTCTCTAAGTCTTTCCCATCCTAAATGGAAAACGGAACGGCCACTTTCACTAGTTATATATCGTCCACCAGGTTCCTATGCTCAGTTCTTGTCTGAATTCTCTGAATTCTTAACTAACTTACTACTAAATACTGATAAAGTCATAATAATGGGTGACTTCAATATTCATCTAGATGTTGAAAGTGATAGCTCAATCATAGCCTTTAAAAACTTAATAGTCATTTGGTTTTACCCAAAACGTTCGAACATCTACTCACTCTCATCATCACAGTCTTGACCTAGTTCTGACCTATGGCATCGAGATTATTAACTTAGTAATATTTCCTCAAAGTTCTGTTGGGTCTGACTATTTTTTAATGACCTTTGAATTTACATTAAATGACTACACAGTCACTGAGAGTAAATTTTATTTTAGCAGGTGCTTATCAGAAAATGCTGTAACCAAATTTAAACAATCTCATCCATCGTTTTCCTCTGTCTTGCAGAGTAATACACCGGAGAGCAGTGGCTTAGATTCTCTAGTTGATAATTTTACAACTTTGCAAACGTCACTCGATAAAGCTGCTCCGCTGAAAAAGAAAGTAATCAATCAGAGGAGATTAGCTCCTTGGTTCAATTTTGAGTTACATACTTTAAAACAGACATCTAGAAAACTAGAAAAAAAATGGCGCTCCACTAACGTTAAGGAATCTTACTTATCCTGGAGATATAGCCTGATAACGTTCAAAAAAGCACTTCGTAAATCTAGAACTTTGTATTATTCATCTTTAATTGATGAGAATAAAACTAAACCCAGGTTCCTTTTCAGTACCAAAGGTAGTCTAATGAAAAATCCCATCTCTGTTGATTCATGTATCCCTACAACTATAAGCAGTGATGACTTCATGAGATTCTTTATAAATAAAATTGTTTCAATTAAGGAAAAAATTCAAACCAACATTCCTAGTATCGACTCTGGTTCTGTGTCAGATGAGACAACTTTAAAAATGTCACTAGAACCTGATTTATGTTTGGACTGTTTTTGTCCTGTTGAGCTCTCTGAATTGTCAAAAATAAGTTTCATCCAAACCATCCACATGTCTGCTAGATCCCACACCAACCAGACTGTTTAAAGATGTACTTCCCTTAATTAAAGTCTGTCTTGTATCTGCTTAATCTGTCTCTAATGAATGATTATGTACCACAGAGCTTTAAGATTGCTGTAATTAAACCTTTACTTAAGAAACATAACCTTGACTTAGGAATCCTAGTTAGTAGTAGAGATCATCTCTCTCCAGTTTTAGCTTCTCTCCATTGGCTCCCTGTCAAATCCAGAATTGAATTCAAAATCTTACTTCTAACCTACAAAGCTCTCAACAACCTATCTCCATCTTATATTACAGATCTTATTGTTCCATATTTTCCAAACAGAGCACTTCTCTCTCAGACTGCAGGCTTACTTATGGTTCCTAGAGTTTCCAAAAGCAGAATGAGAGGAAAATCTTTCAGTTATCTGGCTTCTCTCTTGTGGAACCAACTTCCATTTTCTGTCCGTGAGGCTGACACATTGTCCAGTTTTAAGACTGGGCTTAAGACTTTCCTTTTTGATAAATCCTGTACAGTAGTCCCTTGCTACGTTGTGGTTCGTTTATCGCGGACTTGCTCTATTGCGGTTTTTCCAAATAAGATTTGACATTAATTATTTTAAGTTATTTAGCACCTGCAACTTTGTGAAGCCCACTCTGCAGGATAAGCTTCCTGCTGCAGCTGATTAGCTGATCTCAGTGGAGAAGTGGGCGTGGCCAAGGGTGCTTGCAGGTGGAAAAGAGCAGCAGAGGCATGGAGCTGAAATCATGACATTCTGTGCTTTTTTAGAGCGTTTAGAGTTTAGAAACATCCATCCATCCATTTTCTTTACCCGCTTATTCCATTTTGGGTCACGGGGGTCGCTGGTGCCCATGTCCAGCAATCACTGTGCGAGGGGCGGGGTACACACTGGACGGGTCGCAAGTCCATCACAGGGCCACATAGAGACAAATGAGACAAACAACCATTCACTCTCTCACTCACACCTAGGGACAATTTAGAGTTACCAATCAGCCTAACATGCATGTTTTTGGTCTGTGGGAGGAAACCGGAGTACCCGGAGAAAACCCACGCATGCACGGAGAGAACATGCAAACTCCACCCAGAAAGGCCCCTGGACCGGGGTTTGAACCAGGGACCTGCTCACTGAGAGGCAGCAGCTCTACCAGTTGCGCCACCGTGCTGCCCCAGTTTAGAAACATTGTTTAGAATATTGCAAGAGTGTGGGAAGGGTTTACA